CCGCCCGCACGGCTCGGCGATGGCCCCTAGTGGCCAGTGCTCCCCCGCCTGCCTCGGGACGGGTGGTGGTGGTGGTGATAATGACGGTGATACTGGTAATGACGAGATGACGGCGAGGATCATGGTGATGATGGTGTCGTAAATGATGATGGTGATGGCGGTGTCGATGATGGCAACGATGGCGACGATGGTGATGCTGACGATGATTACGTTGGTGTTGACGATCGAAAGGCAGTGGAGGACTGGAGGACGATGGAGGAGGGGGAATATGATGGAGGAGGGTTGCAGGGGCGGAGCATCAGAGAGGGGGAAGAGAAGGAGGGAACAGGAGTGATCCGCCTTTTGATGCCGACCGAATTGTTTTCTGCTTTCAAACGCGTCAAGCATATTCTAAATACTTCCCCGACCCCCCAAACTCTTTTTCTCCTCCACCTTGAATCCCCCTCCCAGTCCGCCCGCCCGACCTGCCCGTTTGTTCCTACTGCATGTTTTCCTGCTCCGAACCGCTCTCCCGCTAATCTCGTGCTCCAGCCTTTTTCCTCCCCCTTGTCCTTTCCCTCCTCCCTCCCTCCCCTGTCTTAGGGGCTGCGCCAACTACACTACCAAGGGGGGTATGTGCGAAGACGAAGGTGGCGGGTGGTCACCGAGGGTCTGGGATTGGCATGCTGAGTGACACGCGAGGAGGTTAAGAGCGAACGGTCTTGAACTTATGGTTATTGAGTTCTCGTTCCCCAAGAATGATTATTCCTGATCCCCCCTCCGTTGCCCATTATGTTTTTCAATTGACGTGCTCCTCCCCGGGCTCGCATCCAGTTTTCACAAGGGAAACTGTGGTGGCTCAGATTGGTTCCCTGGCCCTCGAACTTCACAGCAGTCTCGCCCGCCTGATACTTCACATTTTATCAGAATTCGCGCTCTGGCGCAGGACTTTCTTGAAATGTATGCAGGAATCGCGCTCTCGCGTGAGACTTCCTCGCAATTTATTCTGACGTCGCGCCCTTGACACTCGTTAATCACGCTCTCGCTCTGGATTTCTTCACGATGTACTTGGCAATCGCGCTATCGCTCGAGGATTCCTCGCGACTCATGCAGGGCTGACTCTTCAGCGACCCGCCCGCTCGATCCAGCCGCCTGGGCCTACCCGAACGACCCGCCCGTTAGTGTCCGCCCGCCCGACCCGCCCGTTTAGTTTTGCCACATGCTTTCCTGCTCTTAGCCATCGTCCTGCTAATCTCTCTCGTGCTCTATCCTTTTCCCTTCCCGTCGTCCCTCCCTCCTCCCTCCCTTTTCCTGTTTTAGGGGCGTCGCCAATTATAAGTGGCAGATCTGGAAGATATACCCCCAAGGGGGGTACGATCGAAGACGAAGGGGGCGGCTGTCGACTGTTTCGGACATACATGTTGAGTGACACGCGGTCAGATAAGAGCGAACCGTCTTCCAATCTTTATTGTCCAGTTCTCGTCGTTTCTTAAGAATGAATGCTGCTGATCCTCTCCACGTGTGCCCGTCATTTTTCATGTGATGTACCCCTTCCGGGTCTCGCGACTGGTTTTTTTCAAAAGGGAAAGTCTTGGGCCTCAGGCTGGGCGCCTGGCCTCCGTTTTACGATAGCAGCAGTACTTATCTTGAGACTGTTCGTCGCTCTTATCTGCTCGCGTGCCATTCAGAATGTAGCCAGCTGCCTGCGGGAACCCCCGCCACCGTTCCTGTGCAACAGCGCAGCAGGAATGAGGCTGAGTGCAGGAACAGCGCAATTCTGACGAGTGGTATGATAAGGACGGGTCGTGAACTCGACCTCGACTTCGCCCGCGCGGTAGGAATGAGGTCGAGTTCACGTCCCGCGGCAGTTCAGCGAATGGTCTGAACTGGGGAGGGCCGTGATCCCGACATCATTTTCGTCCGCGCGGTAGGGAGGAGGCTGCGGCGGAGGAGAGGGAGGAGGAGGAGGAGGAGGAGGAGGAGGAGGAGGAGGAGGAGGAGGAGGACCAGGAGGACCAGGAGGACCAGGAGGAGAACATGAATATGAGGAGGAGAGAGCGTCTTAGGGCCTCCTGGGGGCCTCCCGGGAGCCTCTAGGGGAGCCTCTTGGGGGCTCTTGTTGGCCTCCTGGGGCCTTTTGGGGACCTCGTGGGGGCTCTCGGTCCATCTTTGGGAGGGCGATTGGCCCGTCTGACGCCTTCGAAGGCCGTCTTGGGGGTTTCTCTGAGCCGTCTTGGAGCCATCTTGGAGCGGTTTAAGGCCGTCTTGGGGTCCTCTTGGGAGCCTGTTGGGCGATCTTCAAGGCCCCTTGGGGCGAGAACCTTAACATCTTTTTTCATACCAGAGGAGACATGGTTTTGGCCTCCTCGGGTGCTCCTGGAGAGCCTCTTGTAGCCCTCTTAGGCCGCCTTGGAGGTCTCTTGGGCTGTCTTGAGGTTGTCTTGAGAGCCTCTTAAGACGTCTTGGGCCATCGGGAGTCGCCTTGGTGTCGCCCTGGCTATCTTGGAAGTCATCTTGGAGGCCATGTTGGCCGTCTGGAGGCCGAAAAGACCGCCGGAGAGCAATTTCACAGGGAACGATTTTTCAATGCGGCGATGGGGGGGCGGCTGTGGAACATTCAAAACACGTCTTCCCAGACAAGCAGACGAACATTCTAACACGCCCACTCCGTGCAGGGACGGTGGTGGATATCCCAAACCCTCGATACTCGCCTTTTGCGCCTTCGCACATACCTCTATTGGGGGTATATCTTCAACATCTGTCACGTGTAGTTGGCGCAGCCTCTAAAACAGGAGTGGAGGGAGGAGGGAAGGGACAAGGGGGAGGGAAAAGGATGGAGCACGAGAGAGGTTAGCAAGAGTGGTGTTCGGAGCAGGACAATAAGCAGCATAACCAGACGGGCAGGTCGGGCGGGCGGACACTAACAGGCGGGTCGGGCGGGTGGGCCCAGACGGTTGAATCGAGCGGGCGGGTCGCCTAAGAGTCAGCCCTGCGCGAATCGCGAGGAACCTCGAGCGATAGCGCGATTGCCAAGTATATCGTGAAGAAGTCCAGAAAGAGAGCGTGATGATGAGTGTCGAGGGCGCGGCGTCTGAGTACATGGCGAGGAGGTCTCACGCGAGAGCGCGATTCCTGTATAAACACTGAGGCGGTCCCGCGCGGGAGCGCAATCCTGCGTAAATTGAGAAAATCTTCCGCCAGAGCGCGAATTTAGATAAATTGTGAAGTATCAGGTGGAAGAAATTGTTGTGTAGTTCGGGGGCCTGGGAACCAATCTGAGGCGCAACATTTTCCCTTGAGGAAAAACCGGATGCGAGCCCCGGGCGTGGGTCCAGACGGCCAGGTCGAGCGGGCGGGTTGCTGAAGGATCAGTCCCGCATGTGTCGCGAGGAAGTCTCTCAGCGATAGCGCGATTCCAAGGTAAATCGTGAGGGAATCTAGAGCGGGAGCATGATTCCTCAGTGTTGGGAGCGCGGCGCTTCAATGAATTATATATCTGCCGGCGGAATGGGATCGGGGCCGCCAGGCCGGTACCTGCGCCCCCCATGGCCGCTCGGGGGCTCCGGGAGCGCTCTTGTCGGGGCCAAGAGGCGGCCAAGACGTGCCCAGTGAGGCGCAAGTGGCCCCCAAACCGGCGTAGACGGCCCCGGGTCGCTCAAAGATCGCCCCTGGACGCTCAAGATGGCTCCCACTGAGCCCAAGAAGCCGCTACAGCGCCCAAAGTTGCTTTCCAAGAGAGCCCCAAGCGGCCACAATCATTGATTTTTCATACGGAAACATGCATTTTTAGCATCTACGTCTTCTCGGTCTTCACGGCGTGCAGGAGGGTACAAGAGGCCTCCACGACGGCCCCAAGACGGCCCAAGAGGCTCCCAACACGGCCCAAGAGGAGCCCAAGACAGCCCCAGCGGCGGCCAAGGCGTGCTCAAGAGGCGGCCAAAACGTGTCCACGGAGCCCCGAGAGGCTCCCAAATCGGTCCAAGACGGCCCCAGGGCTCTCAAAGGTCGCCCCTGGACACCCAAGATGGCTCCCATAGAGCCCAAGAGGCCGCTACGACGCCCCAAGAAGCTTTCCAAGGGAGCCCCGAGCGGTCGAAGTCATTGATTTTGCATAGGAAAACGTACATTTTTAGCATCTACGACTTTTCGGTCTTCACGGCGTGCACGACGGTACAAGAGGCTCCAAAGACGGCCCCAAGAGGCTACCAACACGGCCCGAGACAGCCCGAGGGGCGGCCAAGGCGTGGCCAGACGGCCCCATGAGGCTCCCAAAACGTTCCAAGGCGGCCCCGGAGCGCTCAAAGCTAGCTCTTGGACACCCAAGACGGTTCTCACAGTGCCCAAGAGACCGCGAACCCAAGAGGCTTTCCAAGAGGGTCCCAAGAGGCCAGAATCATTGACTTTGCATAGGGAAAGCGTATATTCTTAGCATTTGCGACTTGTCGGTCTTCACAGCGGTGACGACGGTACAAGAGGCCCCCAAGAGAGTCCCAAAACGGCCCAAGAGGCTCCAAAGACGTCTCGAGAGGGGGCCAAAACACCCCAAGAGGTCCCCAATACGACCTAGGAGAGCTCCAAGACGGCTCCAGGACGCGTTTCGACGAAGTTTGGCTCGATTTGTCCTTGACCTCGGTTAGAACCAAAGCGCGCGCGAAACGCGCGCGATGTTTTTTTTTTTTTTTTTTTTTTTTGTTTTGTTTTTTTTGTTTTTTTTGTTTTTGTTTTGTGTGTGTATATATACATATATCGAAAGACCGCTTCTGGACGCCCAAGACAGGCCCAAGACGGCCCGAGAAACCCCCCCAAGGCACTCCACGATGCTTCAAAACGCCTTTCCCGAGCGCTTCAAGAGACCAAAATCGTCAATTTTTCAAGAGGTTTGGGATGATTTTGGCCTTCCAGCCTTTTCGGCTGTCCGACGTTCCAGGCCGGCTCCATAGCCCCCCAAGAGCGCCCCAAGACGGCCCAAGAGGGTCCCCAGACGGGCCCAGAGGCGCCCCAGAGAGCCCCAAGACGGCCCC